GTCACCGTCAAGAGGGTGAAAAGAATATTGGGTGTAGTGATATTCTAAGAAAAACAGTAAGGACAGAACAGTAAAACAGCAGAGAAAGCTAATGGTGAGACATGACAATATTTTCGCCTTTGTTTCGATCGATCTAATGGAAACGAAAAGTTTAGAGCAGGGGGAGGGAGAAGGTGAGCTAGACTCGATAGAGGGCAAGTAAAATTCCTCTGTAACTGATTAGTACGCGTACGTGTGGAATTAATCATTGCAAAAACAAACAAATAAACAAACTTAAATTATGTTTACAGTTGATTACTTATTCAGTTAGCACTGGTTGATGTTTTGATATTGCAAAGAGTGTGTACTGTCCTACTGTTGTGTCTCCAGCTAACAATGAAGCATCAAGTGAAGATGGAATATCAAATGGATTACAATAGCAGTTGAACCATCAACTGACCAAGGAGGATTAATTTGGGTAATTTTACTTTCAGTCATAATCTAATGGAAAAGAAATGAAGTATCAAACAGTAATATGCTTTTTCTGAGAGAGGTCAGACTCTATGCTAATATGCGAGTATCGGGCCAAAAAATCAGCAGCGCGAAACTAAACGTAAAGGTCGACCATAGTCTTCACGTACAGCTCAGGAATATTTCTTACCTCTCACACAAGACAATGCGGCGATCTCGCTCCAGGAAGTATCGTTTTGACACGTGGTGTACCTAGGACCGCTGAGTGCATATCCGTCACCGCAATAGAACACACATCGTGTGCCGTATTCGACGTCTGTTTGTGAGCATGATGATGGAACCACTCCACCTTTGTCAGGTAAAGTCAGCTTCGGGCACACGACCGCTGAGAAAGTTCAAAATATGAAATTATAATGTGAAGCGAATGATAGGCATTGATAGTAGGTTATGCATAGAATCTTCAAGTTTGAGCGAACACTGCCATCTTATTAACCAGCTACGAGGGCCGTATGGGAAAATTATCATCCCGAGGTCTTGATCGTGTGGATCGAGCGCAGCGAGATGCGATGTTGGACTAGCAGTTCGTAGAATATGATTGGTTGTAATTGACTAGAGAACTATCCCGTAAGACTCCTTGCTGAAGATATATAAAAACTTTTCCCCAGAAAAGACAAAAGTAAGCGATAAAAACATTGAAGATCATTACTGAGAACTGTGACCATAAGGAAACTACGTTAATTTCGATAATTTCACATAGTTAAGTGTTAAATCTCAATACGAGCATAACATTTATTAATCAGGAGATTCTGATTATGAAATCAAGAAACTGTTGAGCCATGAAGCGCGCACAAGACACCGATAAGGTATCGATAATCAATATTAACCGCTTTGGAACTGAGCTGGCATTTCCAACGAAGAGAATGAAGGATTGAAACGGATTTATAACACATTAGGCCATGTTAGTATTCTCGGTAAGAGACTTGAGCAAGCTTGCAAACTAGGCTCTTACAAGGGAATCTCATAAAAAGAGATTTATGTCATTTGCATTTGAAAATGACTCCCCGCAGTGGCCTCAGTTGCAAGCTAGTTCCAGTCCAATACCGAGAATACGAATATGGCCTATTTGGATTCTGCACACTGTCTGACTGAGTGAAAGGCGATCCATATTTTATCGCAATTTAAGAAAGAAATGGTGTAGCCCTAGGGAACACACCAAGTGCTTTGCAGAATTCGGAAGTGTTTGTAGCTTATTTCTATCTCTGTTAATTTTGCACAGCGATACTTACGTTTACAATAAGGCACAGTTCCTTGCCACAATCCATCGATCTGACAGGTTAATGATTGATTTCCACCCGCGATGTAGTGTCCAGATTCGCACCCATATGTGCAGACAGTGTTACGCCTGATATTCTCTCTTTCGTCAGTACAGCTGTCCGGAGTGATGAGACCGCGGAATGGAGCTTCCAAAGCAGGGCAGTAAATCTCTGAAATGAAAGAAGTAATGTTAGATTCAGATTTCAGATTTTTATTGTTTTGCACTATTTCTCAAAATCAATTCTGTAAACAAATATTACATATTACCATGAACAAGGACACAGAAAAAAAATTACAACAATAGAAAGTAAATGTGCGAAGTGCCCAAAGTAGCTAAGGCTTTCGGGTTGGTCACTGCCACGTTACGATTAACTAGCGCAGGCAATCTTATATATTAAGATTGCTAGAGCACAGAAAGATATTTATCAATTTGGACAGCGAACTTCACAACAGCCATAAAGAGTTAAAACATTAAGAATATTTAAACAACGTCCTGCTCTTGTTTAAACTACTCAAGCTAAGACACTAAAATTACATAACAATTTAATCTCATGGTCCGCTACGTTGTTCTTGTTTTTGCAGTATTCTTGTGAATTTACCTTCACAGCTCTTGTCGTCATCCATGAGTCTGTAGCCAACATCACAAGTACAGTAATAACCACCTTCGTAGTTAGAACATTTGAATTCACAGCCACCCTGGTCTGCTAAGGCGCATTCGTCGACATCTTCAAACGAAACCAATAAAAAAATCATTTTCATTAATGAAAATCAAGTGCTACTTTTTGACAGAAGGGAATCTAGAATGGAAAATAGTTCAAGTTGCAAAGTTCTATGGAATTTTTTTACTAAAACTGGTCCTGTAGTTTAGAATCAATATCTCCATAAATACAGTCGGACCTGTATATAACGGCCAACTTCGGGACATGAGGAACTGGCCGCTTAACACAATTTCACTAAAAATGCTCACTGGGCGTAGTCTAATGTCAATTTTAAAGACGTATCAGTTCAGAAACACTTCATGCAAGGAAACATCAGGACAATCAACACTCTTTCAGGGAATGAATACTTTAAACAGGGTTCACTGCCAACTTGTAACTTAACGGTATAATATATATATACGTAACATTGTGTAAAAAGTACTGTACTGTGCATTAAATTGTCCTCTACTCTTCTACGGTATACAGCACCGTATTTCTGTGACGTACATTTCACAACAAAATATCACATTCCGTCATTTCATAGTTGTTACGTTTAGGGTGGCTGCTTAATATAGGTAAAAATAACAAAGAAAGACAAACATAGGACCGCTACAGGATGGCAACGGCTGCTTAATAGAGGTGGCCGCCTAATACAGTTAACAAATACAGCATTTGTATGAACAAAAAATTGGGACTTTGAAAACTGACCGCTTAATAGAGGGCGGCCGCTTCATACAGGGTCATTATATACAGGTTCGACTGTAATTTAAATGCGAGGTTCGCGGGCATGAAAGTTTGCTTAACTACTACTGTTCTGTAAATTCACTATGTCGCTACATTACAAAGATGTACGTCTGGATTTATGAAAACAGTTTTAAAGAAAAGCTTGTTCTGCTCAAGCGTCTACAGTAGACGAAATAAAAATTCAAAGGAGTGTCAGTCCTTTTTCCCTCCGCTCTCTTATCATCCTTTTCGTGCTCTTCTCTATTAGTTTAACAAAAAGAAGGAATGCAAAAT